TCCATGCAAACCTGTTTGATTTGTTATGGATATTAAGCTCCAAAATAAAAAAAATGCATCATGAATGCATCATACGATCCATACGACTTGTGCACTATATACTTAAAGTCTTCTGAAGTCATACAATAGTATTCTGTGAATATCAGACTGAAAATTAAGTAATTATTCACTTTAATCCTCACCTCAAGTGATCTGCTAATTGCTGTGATCAGATCATTGAGTCAGTGAGTTGAATTCAAGAAGCAAATCAGTTTAATGAATGAATGAATCATTCAGGACCTCTTTCCCAAAATCACTATAATCCATTCATTATATGGATGAGTGGCCTAGTTATTCTTAAAAAAATGACCTTTTCAGTGCGCTGGAATAACATGAGGGTGAGAAAATGGTTGAACTATCCCACCATCTTGCTTTTAAATACAAGAAGTTGTTTTGAATGAGTTCACTCTTGATTTTTTCTTCTTCTTCATTGTTTTCAATCTTCAGGTTGCTGTATTCTTTATCAGAGATATTCAGTGTCAAAAAGGATCAGAGGACACATTCAGAGAAGAGAAGTGTGAGTAGGCCTTGCTCTGAGCCATGGACTGGAAGACTTTTCAAGCCCTGCTCAGTGGGGTGAATAAATACTCCACTGCATTTGGCCGGATCTGGCTCTCAGTGGTTTTTGTGTTCAGGGTGATGGTTTACGTTGTAGCGGCTGAGAGAGTTTGGGGCGATGAGCAGAAAGACTTTGACTGCAACACCAAGCAGCCGGGCTGTGCAAATGTCTGCTATGACCACTTCTTCCCCATTTCCCACATCCGACTGTGGGCCCTGCAGCTCATCTTTGTCACCTGTCCATCGCTGATGGTGGTCATGCACGTGAAGTACCGCGATGAGCGCGAACGCAAGTACCGCGAGAAGCACGGTGAAAAAGCCAAGCTCTATGACAACACGGGGAAGAAGCACGGTGGACTGTGGTGGACATACTTGATAAGCCTTTTTGTCAAGACTGGCATCGAGATCACTTTCCTGTACATCCTCCATCATATTTATGACAGTTTCTACCTGCCAAGGCTGGTGAAGTGTGATGTCCAGCCATGTCCCAACGTTGTGGACTGTTACATTGGTCGACCCACAGAGAAAAGAGTCTTCACCTACTTCATGGTTGGAGCTTCAGCTCTTTGCATAGTGCTCAGTGTCTGTGAGATCATCTACCTGATCTCCAAACGCGTCATTCGATGTGTCAACAAGATGAAGAGGCATCACAGAAGCAGCACACCACTTAATGGACGATACCGAGACGAGGACAGCAACTGCACCCTTCCTATGCATGAATTGGACAGCAAACCCGAGTTTAAGTTGGAGTCTAAAACAGATTTTAAGTCTGACTATAAACCTGGGTCTAAACCACAGTTTAAATCTGAACTCAAGCCAACATTTAAGCCAGCGTACAGATTGAGTGTCGACATGAGAGCTTCTGCTCCAAATCTCTCAGTACCCATGTACAAGATACAGTCTGATATACTTTGAAGAACATTTGTTTTTCTCCAAGTATTCACAAAGTCATATTTAGGTATAAAACAAGCTTTGAATGTCTGGACAGTCTCAAAGTCTTTCATTGTCCATCAAGACCTATAAAACTGCCAATCTTGGGTCATTTGGCCGAAGGTTCATGAAATTCTATATGCCAAATTCAGAAACTTTTGCCTTGGAAACAGTAGGGATTAAGTGGCCTGCCTAGTGGGGCAGTGGAAATGAACCAAGATTGTGATATCACTGGTACCTGGGTTCAAACCTGGAGTCTTTTGATTAGCAGCCTAGTTCCTTCAGGCTTCAACTCCAGCTCAAATGACTGCATAACCGCCATGATCCTAAGAATTAATGGGGACCGAATGCATTCCTTCTGATTCATTTCTTAAAAAGATCAAAGGTGAAAACCCATGAAAAAGCTGAAGAGTTATCAAATAACCAGGAAGGCTTTCATGGAGAACACACCCTGCATACAAAACCCACCTCCACCTTCACACGCACACAAAAAGATAGGAGGAAGAGTGAGGTTCTATTGTGTGTTAAAAGACGTAATGAAAATGCCTCATGGGTGTCATTGTTTACGGTGTCTCATTTCTCAATGTCCTGGTATTTGTTACAAAGATCAGAAATTTTATAGTTGAAGCTGTTCCAACTATCACCGTTTCATAGAGATCATAGTGGTGGTTTATATGCAAACACACCTGAACTCAAATTCATATGCTGGAAAAATGAGAGGTATATATTAAATATCACACAGTTTCCATAAGATGGACAATCAGGGAAAGTTTTTCTTCCATTATTTGTTGTAACTTTACTGTAGACTGTGGACTCATCTGATCTACACTTGGCAAGCATTTGTAAGAGTCTGACTTTGTTCAGACTTGCTGTTATGATTGTGTTACATATTTTAGCTGAGATTTTTCATGAAGCTGCACACCCTGCCTTTGTATCAAAAGCTGAATTTTTGAAGTTTTTATAAAATTGCCATAATGGAGTTCTTCGTTTGTATGACAGGTATTGTAAATGAGGATGCTTTTAAAGTTTATTAATTTTGATACTCTATAAATAAAGTACAAAAACAGCCATTTTATCACATTTTGAAGAGATTATTTTGGTGCGAAAAAGCAATAGCTTAAATCATGAACAGACAAAGAGGAAACAATCAAAGAGGAAACGGATTTAAGGAAGTGAATAAACAACTTCAATTAACTTTGACAGAACATGGAACATGAAAACCATTATTTATTATCCTTTGTCAGAACTTATTGTAATACTGATCAATTTACACTGATCTATTTCAAATCTTTGCACAACTATTCAAATGTTTGCAGTCACTAAGATTTTTAATACTTTTATTTGGCAAGAACGCATTAAATTGATCAAAAGTGACAGTAAAGACTTTTATATTGCTACAAAAAATATTTCAAATAAATGCTTTTTGAGCTTTCTATTCATCAAAAATTTAAATATTTAACATGGTTTGCAAAAAACACTGAACTGTTTTCAACTGTGATAAGAAATGTTTCCTGAGCTCCAAATCAGTAACTGCTTTACAAACAGTTCACTGTGGAATTTTGAATGGATCAAAATCTCTGAAATGTATCGTAATGCCTACTCAAAGTATAGCTTATTTGTTCATAAAGAGATATTAATATATAGATAAACTTTTTATAAAATTGTTCTTCAAAATAAGCAAATATGAACATTCACAGCCTTGCATTAACAGAACATTACTTCCTGATCAAAGTACAAAAGCTATTATTCACTTCTAAATAACTTTTTTTCTTAGAGTCTTAGAGTTGATGAAATGCATTGAGGGTGCGTGTATGATGTCAAACATAATGTGTAAAACTTGTTGATCCAGTTAATCGGCCTTCAACAGATAACAGAAGTACTTCTTGTAACTGAAATTGTTACTTTCCTCTTGGTCAGAAGGATCCAGTTTTACATTGTTACTGTTATGAAAAGTTCAATTGTCAGCATAACCGGTAAAAGTAAACCTGAAAGAGAAGTTTGGCACACTGCATAAGAACACCATAATACACATTTCTCATCATCTTGTCTTTAATTATTAAAATTAATAATCTCTTATTAAATAAAAAGTGTGAAAGTAATAATCTCTTATTAAATAAAAAAAAAAACTGAAGCAAAAAAATAAAATAATAATAATTCAACAATGTCAGTTATCAACACAAAGAGAAACAATAATAAGCTGTTGTAACCCACAAGACATGTCTCAACAATAAATTAAAGGAAATGAAAAGGGATTTTCCTTAGCACAGAGAAAGCACTCAAATTTTTCATGTTTTTTCCTGGAAAGAAACAAAATCAATAAGTAGTCATAATGGTGCACAATGGTGCAAAATCTTTTCATTATAATGGGTTTGTTATGAATACCAGTTTAGTAATGCATTTGTCTGGTAATTACAGATATTTCCGTCTCAAAATGAGTCAAAGCACACACCAACACAAGTACGGGGATATCAGATATAAAACCATTTGTGACGTCTCATTCTATGATACATTAGCAAACAAATACACTAATCAAGATTAGTAATGTGATGCAGTCTAACTAGCAAGACATTTGCATCTAGATTAGGCCTGTCACGATAACAACTTTTTGTTGTGCAATATAGTGCCCCAGAAATAATTGCGATAAGCGATATTACTGTCATTTTAAATACCGTTTTATGCCACTGAATATATAATCATAATGTAACAGCATAATAATGCAAGAAGGCCAACACACTTCCAAATGACATAGTGACATAAATTTTTAAGTAAATATAATGGGCGATATATTGCGTCACCAAAAATTATTGCGGTCATGTACATATATTGCGTGATAAGTCGATATATTGATTATTGCGACAGGCCTAATCTAGATATGATTCATAATATTCTGCAAAGTCAAATTCTGTCCCGTTCTGGCATTTATTGCCTTTAGGCAACAAACGATCTTGCTTCATCACTATGTAAATATTTAATTAATTCATTAGAAATATACATATACATTGTAGTTATCAAATGTTGCCTGTCATCAGAAATCAAGGCACTAGAGAACAGTTTGGGTCCGTCTGGTTGTGAATATTGGGTGATACGAGCTCACAAGCGCCCATTTCATCACTAGCTTCATTCATACATTCACAGTAGAGAACGGATGCGCTCATCCCCAATGTCCAGCTCCACTGTGTTTAGAGATATTTATTTCAAAGATATTATAAATTAAGAGATTTCACAGCATACTAAGGGGTAACGTATAGTGACCTCCAAAAGAGTAATGTCATCATACCAGGGACTATAATCACTATAAAGAGAAAGAAGACTTCAGAGCTTGCAGGAGGCCTGAGCTACTTTTGAATTTGTCCTTCTGTTGAGTGAATGACAGATGTATGAGCCAGCAGCCAACAGTTTGGGCAGGTCCACTCCCTGAAACAAAGAAACTACAGCTTAAATGTGTGGTATAACTTTTTTTTAAAATTATTATTATGTAGTTTTATACCCAGAGGTCCAGTGATGTTTTTGTGACATACATTAAATTTTTTAAAGTATAATTATTATTTTATGACCATTTTCCACCATTCTCTGATCCCACAAGTGAATAATGATTTTAAAGCTGCAGGAAAATGTTCAAGACGCATTTTTTAGGTTTTCCTACCTAAAAAAGAGGTTAGAAAGAGGAGGCAGAACGGTTTATGTTTAATAAATATTAATCTTTTTTTTTCTGAAGTTGGTCATTATCGTTGGTCTTTATGGAATATATATATATTACCATTCAAAAGGTAAGAAAGATTTTTTAAAAGAAATTATACTTTTATTCAGCAATTCAATTAATCAAAAGTGACAGCAAAGACATTCATAAAACGATTTCTTTCCTTACATAAGAATTTTGTTTCAAATAAATGCTGTTCTTTTGAACTTTCTATTCATTAAAGAATCCTGAAAAAAACGTATCACTGTTTCCACAAAAAGATTAAGCAAGCCCAACTGTTTTTAACATTGATAATAATAAGAAACTTTTCATGATTTCGTGTGTGACGCCCCATAGTAAATCAAGTTGTTTTAGGTTGGACTGGTGAGATTATGCATTTACAGACCAGAATTTTCTAAAAGAATCCAGACTGCTGTTAAATCTGACTGAGAGAATAAGATGTAAATGTGACACAGACACAGTCCTGGACTTACAGTATGGATTCCCAGTCCATGCAGCATATAGACCACATCTTCAGTTGCAACATTCCCAGAAGCCCCCTGGGCATAAGGGCAGCCGCCCAGCCCTGCAACGGATGAGTCCACAACACTTACGCCATTCTAGAAAAGAACACATGAAACAAAGGTGTGCTGTATTTTAGGGCTGTCAAAATGACTGAAAAACTAAATTCGATTTTTTCTACTTAAATATTATATTCGAATTTAAAAGGCATAATTTCAGTTAGGGGGAAAAAAGCTTTTGGCTTCTCTCCTGAGGCCACAAGAGGGCGCATCGAGCAAAATATTATGCACGTTTCTTCAAAGCGTAATAAAATAACACTACTATCTTTGAAAAAAAATGCATAATGTTTAAAATAATGTTTATAAACCATATATAAAGTTGCTTAAACAATTAGTATTCGAAATTCGATTTTTTTTTTTACAGCCCTACTTACTGTATTTAAAGAGTAGTTGCTCATTTTAAGAATGTGAAAAATGAAAAGGCCAGAATGCATGGTGTGTACGCAAGGCAATTGTGTCATTAAAGTTTAAGTATAAGAATGGGTCTCCAAAGACAATAAACCAATATGAATATAGCAAAATTATAGACGTCAAGACAGACAGGCAGAGAGGTACTGGACATTTATTCCACACACTTCCTTACTCACCTGTAATGCTACAAGTATGTTAGCAAGTGCTTGTCCGTAAGTGTCATGACAGTGAACTGCTAAAGCCTCCACGGGAACCTCTTTCTTCACGGCATCCAACATCTCTGTCATGCCACCTGGAGTGCCCACTCCGATAGTATCACCAAGTGAAATCTCATAGCAGCCCATGGAATACAGTCGCTTAGCAACCTCTGCCACTTTGTTTGGTGATACCTTCCCTTCATATGGACAACCCAGCACACATGACACATAGCTGGGAAAAACAGAGCAAGAGAGGATTTTTCAGAGATAAGAGCACTGGGTTATGGAAAAAAGTCCATAATAAAAATAACCAAGAGACTGAAATGTGCAATCCACAGGTGTCTTACCCTCTCACAGGAACTCCCTCTTGTTTGGCTGCTCTCATCACCTCCTCAAAGCGCACAAGACTCTCATCCACTGAACAGTTTATGTTCTTCTGACTGAAAAGCTCTGATGAAGCACCAAATATTGCTACCTCTTTTGCACCAGCCTTCATCTGAGATTATATATATATATATATATCTTACTGACGCCAAACTTTTGGACCATAGTATATAAATAAACATATTCTGTATAGCACTAGCACATGCTAGTCTGTGTTGTATTTCACTCACAGCAGCCTGGAATCCCTTCAGATTAGGGGTCAGAACGGGGTAGTTCACACCAGGTTTCTTGTAGAGGCCACGCATCACTTCCTCTTGATCAGCCATCTGTCAATCAAATGCAGCCAATCTCTCATAATTCTCTTTCTTTATAGTGTTTTATTGTATGTTGTGAGAGTTTGTTAATTAAATGTTTGCAGGCTTTGATGGTGTGTGCTGCATCTCACCTGAGGGACCCATTTAGGTGAAACAAAACTTGTGGCCTCAATGACAGGAAGTCCTGCTTCTGAGAGCATATCAATCAGATGGATCTTTACCTCAGTGGGAACAATGGTCTGATGGATGCAGAGTTTGTGATTAACAGAAATTATACAGCTCTTGTATTTAACTTTACATGGTTCCAGAACTTTTCCAACATTTGTGATGAATGGATTAGGAAAAAAAATCACACTTAATTACACAGAAATTACTAATATATATATATATATATATATGTGTGTGTGTGTGTGTGTGTGTGTGAAATAACTGTTCACTTTGTGTCACCAGGGTTTGACAGTTGGCAATCTTAAAACAAAAGTGTTTAACCACACTGCACAGAGCTGTCATGCTGGGTGTTGGTGCAGGTTAATTCAGAATTACAGAAAACTTTTCACCTTCTCATTCTGAAGTCCATCTCGTGGTCCAACCTCTACAATCTTCACCCTCTCTGGGAATGAGAATGACTGTGTGGCAGACACGCTGACCTGCCAGATCTCACACACACACACACACACGTCATTACAACTGTGAATAATAAAACTGAATTCATTCGTCAATTAATTCATTTAGGTAAATCCAAACCACGTAACATCGTAACATTCAGGGCAGCAAACTTGAACTTACGGATCTGAGTATTGCGGCAGCAGCGGAGCGCAGAGCGGGTCGGTGAACCCGAGCAAAAGCGAAAGGACCTGGACTAACTCTCATCACGAGCGCGGCCATCATCACACGCCCCCATTCGCCATGACGTCACAAGTTCATATATATATATATGGATTTAGATCTCGCGATAATACGGGATCAGATTTCGAGAAACTCGGCAACTTTTTTTTCTGTTTGGAAGGATGTTTCAAATGTATGGAGTCATTTTTTGTTTTTGTACAAGATACCATTGATTCTAAAAGTACAATTTATTTTCTTACACAACTATTTTACTTGGAAAATATATTCATGTAAAGAAATTGGGTAAAGCTAAGCCACATTGTGAACAATTTATAAAAGAAATTAAACAATACGGTACTACTTTGCACAATATTAGAAACAAAAAAGCTAAAAAGATTTATGAAGCACTATGTCACTTTAATTTGTTTAATTAAATGTTTTACATTTGTACCCCTGTCATATATAGGCTATACACACACACACACACACACACACATATATATTTCTTTACTTATGTAAATGCACGTTCTTTGTATACCTTTTCCTATTTTCATATTTGTTGTGAGATATATATGTTTGTACTAATTTTTGTACATAATTGCATAATAAAAAATTTATTAATTTATAAATACATAAATAAAAACATAATTTCTCTCTCTGCATCAGTCATCGCAACTCTGAGAGCTGAATGTTTTTGTGTCTAAAAGGTTGTGTTAAATGTTGGCATAAAGGTAGAATAAGTTCAGTTATTCCCCCTTTTTTATCCTATTTAAATGCCAATGATGATTCATGCAAAAACTGCATGTTTATAAAATATATTTTTAGTCCAAATAATCAAAACACAAATAATTTTATGTTAAAATAAGACAAATGTCAAAGATGATATATCCAGTGTGAAACAGAAACACATATACTCATATATACAATATTTTATTTAGACAATGTTTATGTTGAGCCTGTGACTGGTAACAATGTAACTCGTTTTGTTTTAAATAAATAAATGAGTCTGTTACACATCACACAAAGCAGGTCACGTGGACACCATGCAGCATAGTTCATTAAATGATAAAAGTAAACCTTGGCATTAACTAAAGTTGTAGTAATCTAATGTGAAAAATTAAAACTGCTTTGAAAAATTAAAGTCGAAACTAGAACATTGCAGTTTTTTTTAATTACAGAAAAATCTGTCCCATTGTATCAGCCATGTATCTAAATTAAATTTCCATATTGTCATTTTGCCCATAAATGCCTTTTAGAAATAAACTAAATATACTTTAAATTACAGAAGTATACTTGTACTTTTATAAAATCTGTTATATTTTAATACTTTAGATTTTCAATGAGAAAGTGTTTTTATTTGTACAAAAATGCACAATCATATCCCTTATGAAATTTTAACAGGCCTTAAACTGCCAGGAAAACAGCTTTTGCCCATTCACCCTTTCACACAACCACAAGCATGTCATCACTTTCCACTGGCTTCCTCGTCACTGTCCTCCACTTCCTGGATTATGAGATCTGCCCCAGAATCTTCTGCGAGGTCATCGTCGTCCATGACCCATGCAATTTGCCTGTTCTCACTCATGTCCTCTTCCACACCCAACAACAGGCCTTCCTTCTCCTCATTTCCATCAGTCCCATCTGTGATCAACTCACTGTAGCCACTCTCTTGAATGCAAACGTCACACAGCCTGTATTTGCGGGTTCCCTCACATACCACTCGCCCAGTGACTTCAGTTACATGGCGTTTGCACTTCCGGCACACAAACTTACAGGCCTGATGGATCTATGGAACACAAGCGATAAAACAGGATGTTTTAGATATCACATTAATGTTTGTGTTTTTTTCGACAGCCTGAAGAAAAGTATAATTATGTTTAATCACATCCATTACACTTGACTCAATTCAGCCCCGACTTAATGTGATCACACAGGAAGTCCAAGAAAAAAATGAATGACCAACAGTAGCATGTGGATGTACAGCCTGTGGAGGTGTTAATGGACCAGACATGTGTGAAGCTGAGTATGTTTCTCACCGTCTCAAAATGGCTGCGCAGGTGTTCCAGGCGAGTGAAACGTTTGCTGCAGGCCTGACAGGGATAAGGACGCTCACCTGTGTGACAGCGGAGGTGACGCTTCAAGTCGGCCTTTCTCTTTACTGTGTGCGTGCAGAATGGACATTTGTAACGCATAGAGGGAGTGGAATCTGAGACAGAGAGAGACAGACATTTACTGTCAGATCCCTTTCATGCATCACCACATCAAATGACTATTTGAAAGCCTATTTAAAATAAAAAAATCTCTTGTTTACTTAGAAAGTTCAAAAACATACTATAAAAGAGAGTTCGAGTAGGAATAAGTGAGGGGGAAAAAGGAGAAAAAGGCTTAAAGGAGAAATGTTTTGCATTTTTAACTTCTGTAAAAGTTTTGGCTGTTGTTTAAGACCTTGAATGGCTCTTAATTGCAAAATGCCATTTGGATTTGTGCAATATGAACATAGAAAATCTAGTCTAAGCACTTTTATTGTGGAGGCAGAGAAATTCTTGCTGGAGGATGAAAAAAAATGTAACATTTAATATTATTTTTAATAAATGTTTTTCCCCCCTGATCCTCATGCACAAATGTGTATGAATGTGTGTGTGTGTATATATATATATATATATATATGAAGGCTGAATTTACTGAATTTATTTGATCAAAATACAAGAAAACAATATTATTGTACAATATTATTACAATTGAAAACTTTTAATTTCTTCCTGTGATGGCAATGCTGTAAAGCAAAATTTTCAGCAGCAATTGAGACTCCAGTCTTCAGTGTCACATAATTCTTCCTAAATCATTCCGATTAGTTCTGGAAATTCATTGTTGAAAAGATTTGTGCTGCTTACTATTTTTGTGGAAACTTTGATACTTTTTAAAGGATTCTTTAATGGTTGTAAAGTTTAAAAACAGCATTTATTTGAAATTGTTTTTTTGTAACAACAAAGATCGTTGCTGTCACTATTGATCAATTAAATGCATCATTGCTAAATACAAGTATTCAAAAAAAATAATAACAATAAAATAAAAACTTACTGACCCCAAAATATATATGCACAATATCTGCAGGTTTGTGCTCACCTTTATTAAACACCCCAACTACCCCAACAATAGACGGAATGTTGGCGTACAGTTCGTCTGCTTTCTGAGAGCAGTGTGATACCACCCCCTGCAGGTCAATGAGAGAAGTGTCTTCTGTTACCAAGCGAATGCTGGCAGTTCTTTTCCTGCTTCCTCTTCTTCTGCGTTCAGAGAGCACAGAGCTGAACTGCTCCTCCTCCATTTGCGCCTCCAGACTGGACTGTGGAGGAGAGTTCTGCTGAAGCCCTGACGGCTGTGGGCTTGTTCCTCTGAAGTCCTCCTGCGTCTGATCCTCCTCTGGTTGATCCCAGAGTCTGGTCTGAGAGCTCATGCTTACGTCACACATGTTGGACGGCTCGATGACATTCTCACATCTGTCCTGAAGTGGACTGGTGTCTGACAGACACAAATACCGACTCTCATCGTCCTCTTTTGTGCTGATCTCAAGGAAAGATTTAATGAAGGTCTTGCAGTAGGAAATGACGTCATTCATCTGCAGGTAGCTAGCGGCTGACATCACTTCTATTACATTAGAGCTATTGAGCTCCAGCTGACCAGAGTAAATGAAGTCCAGGATGATGGCAAAGATCTCAGGGCTGAAGACATCAAAAGAAGCATTTACAGACCCTAGAGTGTCTTTAGCTCCTTGAGACAGCAACATCCTGAAATATCCACTGCTGCCGTAGAGGACGTTACGGTGTGCACGGAAAATCTGACCCTCCACCAGCACACTGCAGTCACAGAACAATTCCTGCTGTCGTTGCTGGTGCAGCTGCTTTAGCAAACAGCTCTGGTGAATGGCTGACATATCAGCACTGGTCCATTTGTGAACAGGCCTGAAAAAAGGAAGTGGGACAACTTAAAAAAAAATTATGAAAGAATGAGTAATTAACTGTTATTTATGATTCAGTTTTACATTATTCCTGCAGCTTGTATGTGCAGCGCCAGTGTTGTGCTTTGTGTGATGTAATGGCAGCGATTTTATTTCACGAAGAGGCAGATAAACTCCGCCCACTGAGCTCTGATTGGATGACACATCTGTCAATTATGTACATTCGCTGTGGAAGGGGCAACACCCGACTTTGCGCATCGGGTAACGAAGGAGAGAAACAGGGAGAGAGAAAAAGAGAAATAAATACAGAAAGATGGAGAGAAGAAGAGAAACGCGTGTTTAAAACATGAAAAATATTACAATAAAGGAAAAATTGGCGACGCTGTTGCTGCTAAAATATCTCATCATTGGATCCCTCGCAGCACGCGCACACAAATACAAAAACTGGGTTACCGTGCAAGACATATATATATAAATAAATAAATAAATAACCAACCCAATTAACATAAAGACATAAATAACGTAGCAACAGAGAAAACGCTAGAAAAGTCACGGCGCCCTATATGTGCAAAACGCCCGCCGGAGAAAGTAATACCTGAGATAATGCGCACACACGCCTGTGATTATCTAAAAGGACATTTAAACATCAACCAGGCATATAATTTCTTGAATTACGAATCAAACCTGTCAGATAAGGGAGAAGAGGCAGTGGGGTGGTTTCTGACGGGAGCCCTGTCGTCCGTGGAGAGCCGCCCACCAAACCGACCTCAGCTAGAAACGCTCCAGACTGGATTTTAAACCGCAAAACACCCGGCTTTGTAAGCACCTTCATCGCCTTTTCATATTTCAGATCACCTGAGTTCGGACGACCCGCAGGTCGGCGTGGAGCCTCGTGCTGGTCCCCGTCGCCCACCCTCTTTACACGGGCACCGTTTCCCCAATCTCTTAAACATAATACTCACAGATGCCCCGCGTCACCCGAACTCCTGTACGGTCGACATGTCCCACTTTCACAAACCATCTCCATTTCTCTGCCTACTTTGGATGTATTTCTCCAGCTTTTGTTATCAGGGCGAACGGCTTTCACTTCCTGCTTTGCCCGAAAGACCGAAACC